CTTCAGAGCTTTGTTTAAATATAAATAATCAACTCTACTAGTCGCTTTAATTACAACGGTAATTAGTAAATAGTATTTTATTATTAAACTTTGACATTAAAATGAATAATTTACATTTTAATTGCTTCGTTACGTGTTTAAATGCTTATGTATAATAAGCTGTTTTTAATAAACATTTTTTTCTTGAAAATACAACTATGATATCGGAATAAAGCTTTGTAATTATAATTAATAATTATTGAAGATCTCGACTGTTCGTTGTAATTAAATGACAAAATATTTGACAGTTTAATTAGCAGTGCCTTTTTTGTCACTGCTGAGCTGCGTCAGTTGATAATTATACTTTTTTTATCATGTCAGTTACCCGCTGAGACAATTGATGTTTTAATTTTTTCCTAATAGCAATTAAAAAGTTGACTAATTAATTATGTCAAGTTCAAAAAATTCCTGAAAGCTTAAATTTTGTACTGTATCAAGTTTTGAATTGAATCTTTATTTACGCGTTTTTATTAAATTCATTACGTGCAAAAAAGTCAGTCTCGTTATGAATTCATATTTTGAAACAACAATGCCTTTGTTTAGAGCCGTGAGGCAAAAATTTTTTTTGCATGAGATTTAACGCTTCTTGATTTATAATTTTGAGAATTATAAATCTGAGAATTACAGTTTAAAAATTAAACAAGCATTGATAAGGAGCAAAAACAACAGTAAAAAATAATTGTTAATAATTTTAAAATAAGAATTACGTCAGTAACAAAAAAGTTAATTTCATTTTTTTTTATCAATTCTTTCTATAATTATTTATTTATTAAAAAATCGTAAAAATTATCAGTATCAACAAGACTTAAAAACAAATTAATATTTATAAAATTTGGTTCAATGTACCAAAGTTTAATTTTATAAAAAATATAATAAATATTTACAAACTTGAACTTGAGATAAATTTTTTGAAGTATTTATTAATGATTTTGCATATGAAGCTTGCTTCAGCCAATTATAATTTACTTTCGTCTAAGAAAAAAATCATTTAAAAAATTTTTTTCCAAGTGAATTCCGAATATTAATTCACTTTGAAAAAGCCGACTTCTTTTAATATCAAACACATTTAAATTATAAAATAAAAAATATTTATCCTCATCGAGGTACAGTAATCTCGTTAATATCTGAGGTATCTCTAGGGAGCGACTTGTCTGCGTTCAATCATAATCCAATGATGGGTTATGCATAATACAACGTCTGGGTACGTAATTTTATTTTCAAGGTTGACAATAGTGTTACTGTGCTAAATTAAATTTACAACTTGTTTTTTTTTATATCCACATTATATATTTAACATATACTATTCAATTCGCGGTGAAATGAGACACTGGAGTAAAATTATGCCAAACAAAGGCTATTTTTTCAATCAACAAAAAAAAAATTTCACTTAAAAGAAAAATTCCTTCTGTCTTTGAACTAAAACTTTTCTTGACGGTAATTGATAAAAGAAAATCACATATAAGGTAGTGTGAATTAATTAAACGGATGAATATTTCAAAAAGAGGGTAAAACTACTTTAGCGCCTACAGAAGGTGAGAAGAGTAGAGTTAATGCCTACATTTTCGTTATACGTCATATAGTTAATTCTCTTAATTAACAACAGTCCCACGACTTTACGTGTTACTAGACTCTGTATAATGAGAGATTTTCATTATACACATATATACATTTTCGTGTGTATCGCAACTCTCAAAGGGCTAAAATTCAACGCTTGTTTTTGAACTTATAATACCCGTATATAACCATCTGTGTATCCAACTTCTGTCGATTATTAATATTCATACTCATATTTATCATTTAATTTTACTGGCAAAAATTAAAACTTCACTTGAAAAAAATTTAATTTTAATCGAATTTCAATTTACCAAATTTGTAAAGTTTAGATCTAAATATATTACGTAAAAAAAAAAAAAAAAAAAAATTGAAAGTTCATCCTTCGACCCTGGGTTACCGATTAAACCTCTAATTTATGGTAAGTGGTTCTTTTTCACTAAAAGGAACTTCTCTGTAAGAGTTGTGACTTATTTTACTATTTTCCTGATGGTACCGAGAATCTAAATATTAAGTTGAACCGTTTCTTCATAAAGTAAATGCATCTATATTTCTAAAGGAGCTTTTTACCTATAACGAGGATATGTACTTAACAAATATACGTACTTATGAAGCATGCATAAACGTTAGACGTATATAACGAGCTTACACGAATGAGTGTGCTTATAATCGGATAATCACAAACACAGACGCACGTTGGTTACGCAAACTTAAATTGCATCGATACGATACCGAGGAGCTGCACCGGATAGGAAATACAGGTAAGGAGAGTATGCAATAAACGTCAGGCAATTACAAAGCGACTACACATAGCTAGCTGAGCACAAACTAAAATTTAATTGAGCTAAGAACAAATACTTCAGATCAACAAGACGTTCGATAAATTATTTTAAATATTTTATTCAGTGAAAAATAAATAGTAACAATTGCGTTACAGAGGCCATAAGGGCGTATAAAAAAAATTTTGTTTTTTATCAAAATTCTTCTTTGTCTCAGAGAGAAATATAATGCTGCAATCGTAGGGACCGCCTGTTGAAAAATAAAAATTAAATTTTCTAAAAAAAAAATTTATTAATTTTTTGAATTTCTAACTACACATTTTGTCATTTTTAAACGAATAACAACTATTTTATTATTTTTATTATTATTACACTACAGTAAAAATAATATGAAAAAAATTAAATTTTATGTGGTATATATAAAAACAATTAATTAAATGAAATTGTACCGGGCAATTATTTTATTTTTTAACTGATAAAATTATTGTAAAAATAACTTATAATGAATTTCGAAAAAATATCTGGTAAAAAACAATTTCCATTGTCGAAGAATCCGAAATGTGTAGAAAAGATTTTTTGGAAGCACGAGCGAATAGAAATCCAAATGCACCACTTATTGGAACTTATTGCGGTAAAAAGGAAAATTTGGAAATTGCTTCTAATATGCATCGCATGTACCTTATGTTTTATAGCGATGGCTCGAAACAAGCAGGAGGTTTTTCTGCCGTTATTTCTGCAGTACCAATTTAAATTTCATTGCAAAAAAATTCATCGTAATTATTTTTTTTGTATTATTAAGGGAGAGAGGAGCAAAACGGGATACTTAAGGAGATACCAAGTTTTTAACAACTAAATATACTTAATGTATAGCTATATATATGACTTAATGTGGTCAACTTTCCTTTTAGCAATTTTTTTTTTTTTTTTTTTTTAAAATCAACGAAATTATGATTCATAGCGGTGTAAAATAACGTCAAAAGTTATCTTTGACTATTTATTAGAATCATTTTAGTAAAAAATATTTCCTTGAAAGTATAAAAACTTTTTTTTCTTTTCTTAAATAGCTTTAAAATATATTTGTGAAAATTTAAGTAACTTTTTAAAGAAATAGATTTTTCCACCAAATTTTTGACGTACCCCATTTTGGCCCTATCCCTAAAATTTTATTTTTTCTAATGATTATTATTAAAATAAATTAGTAGAAATGTCATTATTGTTAAACATTGATTTAATAACGCCCTTGACTTGATTGGATAATGATATTGTAACTTTAAAAATAATAACAATAATAATATAACATTCAATATCAAAATATAAAAAAAATGTGTAATGTAAACTTTATTATCATTCCGTGTGATTGATATTGATTTCAAAGTTCCTGATTAAAATTTATTCATAACCAATTCGTCTAAATATAACATACAATTATTAACTTTTGAATTATTAAGTTTTGAAAAAAAAAAGTTTCACTAGTAATTTAATGCCTCTTTTATTAAGGGAGAATGGAACAGATGCTAGAATACAAAATCTATACTTACACCCTGAAAATAAATTCTGAAGTAATTACTCCCAGAATTATATACGAAAAATAAATGGTTTTCGATATTTACCAATTTATACTTTCGTAATTCCTTGGGGTGTAAACCCTCCATTTCTCAAAAATTTTTATTGCTCTTTTATGTATATCATTTTTATAGGGATAGAAATTAAGTATGGTTTACTATCCGTCGCCAATAATAAATTTTTTTATAGGGGCTCTTATTTTTGAGAAGCTTAATTTTATGGAAATTTAACAGATATCGAAAATTTCATTATTTATTTATTAAACTTAAAAAATTATTATATATAAAAGACGATTTTTCAATTTTTGATATTTAGAGGGTAGAAAAATCATATAAAATAATAAAAAAAAAAAGTAAAACAATTTTCACCCCCTTGAGCTTTATCAAATAACCCGTACTACGTAAATACTTTTGATCTCCAATAATTTCCACACCCAGTTCATCAAAATATAACCAAGTAAAAGTAATTTTATCTAATAATTACCTTTTTTTGTTTCCATTAAAAAACTCTGCGATTTTTATATCCTGTATTCAATTACTCAATCAAAGCCTCGAAAATAATTGTTTAACTCACTGGCTTCTAAAAAATTATTATATTACTTTCCAGCCGCTAATAATTCTCGGATTGTCAATTTAATTATCAATTAGTGATACTTTTTCCGACCTCGAAAGCTTTTTACGACTTATCACAAAAAGTGTGTTTCATTGGTGAAAAAAAAAAACAATCAAAGAAATTATCACCCAGAATGGGAAATACGTTGCTATAATTGGTCGTCAAATAAACGTCGTACATTTTATCCTTCGCAATTTTTGTGTGATTTTAAGAAAAAATTTTCTTGACGAAAAAAAAATTTTTTAAGTAATTACATACTTCAATAATAAAGTAATTTAATTTAATTATAAAATTGTTTGCTGCCAATACAAACTAAAAATCCAATTTTCTGAACACACAATAATGCATTAGTTAATTAGAACTCTATCTTAGAAATGATTAAAAATTCGATAAAAAAATGATAATCATTAATGATTCTAGTCACCGTTTCTATTTGATTTTTTTTAAATTTTTCTTTTAAAATAAAAATAATATATTCGACTCACCGGCGTAGTTATTTCCGACATTAGTTTTCAGTGACTCGCGGTATTCTTCAGTGTTCATCCCCTCGATGTCGAAATTCCCGAACGTAATATCACCGCGCAATTTGATGAACTGTACCATTGACTTCATCATCAACTGGCACGTATGCCTGCCGGCTATTTTCCTCTGACCACTTGGATCATAAACCAAGTGAACTTTTTTCCAATTGTACCTGAAAAATTAAGCATAAATCTTTACTAATTTAAATTTAAATTTAGTTTTTATGAATAATGACATAAATATTAATTACTGTTATAATAATAATAATTATTATTATTATTATTATTATTATTGTTGTTTGTTTTTTATATCAATTACCTATCCATGACAGAGACAAAAACATTACTCATATCACGGAATGAGAGAGTGCCGATCCGCGTGGTCATAAAATATTCATCCGAGCAAACTATTTTACTTTCGGTGAAATCAAATGTGAATCCACCGGTTGTGATCAGCGGCGCATTCAAAAATTTAGCGACTCTTCCGACATTAGCTGAATAGAAAAAAATAAATTATGTTAAATTATGCGCATATTTGCCTTGAGCTATGAATAGTCATTAATAATTTATATTTACCAACACAGTAGTCGCAAGCTGGACCAAAAAATAGATGCACACACTCGGCATAACTATCAATTGCTGCTATTTGAGCATATGTTGCGTCGCAGTGGTCATCTTTTGGGAGTAGTTTTAATTCTAACCAGTTCGGAAGGATTTTCAGTGCTTTTAGCCTTGATGCTGCTAAATCTGTAATTGAAAAAGTATCAAATTGATAGTAATTCAATATTTGGTAATTTAGAAATCATGTTTAGAATTTTTTTAACAATCAGATATTATTTTTGTTAAAGTTCAGAAAAAAAAGAATAATTTAAAAAATTTAAGTGTCAAATCTTCGATAAAATAATTGTTTTAAAATTTTTGATTTTTTTTTTTAAATACAAACAACGGAAAAAAAAAATAGAAATCACTAGACCTGAACAGACTCATTTCATCGACGATTTCCGTTCAACTTAATATTTTTGTTAACATTAAAAACTTTAATACTAGATGATAAATTTAATTTTAGAACTTTTAATTTATTGTTATTTTGTGAGATAGAATAATTTTAACAAAAAAGATTTAAAAATGTCAATTTTTATGCCAAAACAAATCACTTTGAAAAAAAATTATTGAATCAAGAAAAATTTACTTAAATTAAAATTAATTTTTAAGTTCAAAAATTTTTTTACTCGATTTAAAATGATCAAACTCATTAAAATACTGTTTTTGGTTTAGAACTTAAAGTTAATTTTTTTATCATTACGTCAAACCATACAATTACCGAATATTTTGATATATAATAAATCAAATTGCATTAAAATTCATTGATTTTAAACATAAATTAAAAAGAAATAATAATGCAAATTATTTGAGCTTTAGAAAAATATTTCTACGCTTCTTAAAATTCATAAAAATGTCTTTCATATAAAAAATCAAAATTATTAAATAACTTTTAATCCAGTTAAAATCAAATAAGTTCAATGTATCCCGGGTCAAAAAATTTAGTCTGTTTTATGATTAATAAAATTTTTTAATATTTTTCATTCAATTTAATTTTATTATGTATATCTATTTTATATGAGAATTTAATTTGTTTTTGCCCGTACTATTCACAATTCAGACCAATTTCAGATCATTTTTAATGTTATAATAAAATTGTTTTCTATTGTTTCAAGACCAAAATCAGACTTTTTTTGTCACAATCATTTAGCTGGTTTTGATCGCATCAAGGTCAAAAACAGACCAAAACGTTCTATAATTATTAGTCGGTTTTTCATCGCCTGTAGATCAAAAACCGACCTTTTACGAATTTAATAATAATAATAATAATAATATATTTATTTATTATTATTTTATTCATGTCCTCGAAGATCCTCTACAGGGCACGGCTTTTCATTCTCTGAAACTGAAATAGTGACCATTCACTATTTCGTAGTGCAATGTGTACCAAACGGTATTCTTCGCACTACCAAATAGTGAATACCGCTCATTAAATGATGCGTGAAAGTATAAAATTTAACATTAATCTTGTCAACATTTTAATCTTGTCTTGATGTATTCACATTGAGTTTATTAAAGATAATTAGAGAATTCTAGATTTAGATCCATAATCAAACGATGAGAACTATTTTATAAACGTATATTAATACAAATTTATTAGTTATCACTGCAACTAATATTCGCAGTTACAAAACTTTTATAATCCATGAAATGTTGAGCTATGACAAATAAATATATGACAGATGTAAGGTTATAATCGACGTTAAGTTCATAAAACAAAAGAGCGCATGAATATATTATAAATTAATTTATTTTTTCAAATAAATGCGACTTATAATTTTTAATGAGATACTTTTAAGTCCAAAAAATTATGTCACCATCTTAGTCGACTTTTGGCCTTTGAACATTTAGAGTGAAAATTGTAGATCAAAAACAGTATAAGATTTCATATTGAATTTGAAAACAATACATAAAGTCCATCTACAAATTAACTAGACTAAAAACCGATCAAACTTTTAAAACTTTTTAGTTTCATTAGATTAGAAACAGCATAAAATATTCATAGCTGCTCAATTATTTTACTAAAAAGTTATTTAGACTTAAAACAGATCAAAAATAATGTGAATAGTAGATCAAATACAGATGAAAATGTTTTTAAAAGTTCAAATACAGATCAATAAGTTCAAATGCAGATCATTTAGCTTAAAATCAGTTTAAATTTTTCGACCCGGGGTAACGACAAAAACAATTACCTAAAACAGGCATTACTTTGTACAAAGAAATATCAAACAATGTATTATTAGGAAGGAGAACGGCAGCTCTCAATTCACAGGATATAAAGCCCCGTTGATTTTTACTACAAAGTGCTTCACAGTCGCGAGCTAATTTTGTTTCTCGACAACTTGAACGCGCTATTGTCGCACACATTATCGTAATTAACAATGTCGCTATTACTTTCGCGAGACATCGCGGCCCCATACCACGGATCGACAATTATTTCAGCCCCTGCACTATACACTACACAGTAAAACTTTTGTCAACACTGCTAACCGACATTTTTCTTTATAATTAACAATTAATTATTAATAATTAATAAATGAAACATCACTCCGCTCCGGTAAATAGTTTAAACACAAAGGAAGCAATCACAAGCTTATAAAATATAATTTTATTATTTATAAATTCCAGTAAAGTCTATTAATAAAAATTTTTATTAGTTATATAATGATAATGATATGAAATAAAAAAAAAAAGTTTAAACTATTTATGGATAATGTTATCTTCGGAATTGTCACACGCTAACTGACCGTACCTTCGGATTATCCACGCGCAAATAATAATGATAATTATTTTCGCTATCGTTGAATCACTATCGAATATTTTTTTTATCATATCAAGATTATTGTCGTCTTATTTTACTGAAGTCTTACTTTGTTTAGTAATTTTTATTTTCTTCATTTATTTAATACTATTTTATTATCGAAATTATTATTTATTTATTTGTTTATTCTATTGAATTTTGATAATTTTCAACATAAGAATTAATTTTTTTCTTCCTTTCAATTGAATAATTCTTTGAATTTTAAAAGAGAAGTCGAAAACTACATTATTTTATATTCTTTAATATTAAGATTATTTAAAAAAAAAAAAATAAGGTACCCTCTTAACTTTTATGTTGAAAAGTGGATTTAGACATTTTCTATCAGATATTATCAAAAAATGGTCATTTTTTTTAAAAAAGAAATGAAATATTTTCGACAAAGTAGGGTAACAAGAATTAATTATCTTAACTTAGATTTAGAAAAAAATAGTTAGGAAAAGAAAATTTCTTTTGGCTAGAATAAAATTTTTTTGCCTCGACTAAATGTCTTCTTGCTCCATAACATCTTACAAGTCTCTCGAAATATTATCTTAGTTCAAGTAAACTTTTTTTTCTGTGTACTTAAATAAATGGAATTATACTTTTGACATTTGTAAATAAAATATTTAATATTTGAGATCAATTATCATATTAAAGTAGGAAACGCAATACTGTAATTATTGATTGTAAACACTGCTTAAAATATTCAATAATATTAAAGTAAGCTCGCATTATCCATCTGAATTATAACAATCCTTAATTTAATTGTGAAGATTTTTAAAAATGTTTAATTTTATTTTTATCTACGGAGAAAGTTTCTATTTTATAGTTTATATTTTGGAAAAAATAGACGGGAATATTAACTAACATAAGAACGATGATTAAATTAAATATTTTTCATTTTATCTCAAATATTCTTCAGCTAAGCTTTATTACACTGAAAAAAAATTCACTTATTGATTCAAGATTCAAAGTTTTGAAGCAATAAATTATTTAAAAAAATTCTTGAACTGAGAAATTTTTCTTGATTTCAGTAAATTTTACTTGATTAAATACTTTTTCGTCTTGATTCAAGACAATGAAACTCTAAAATGATTTTCTTGGTTCAAGAATTTTTCTATAAAATCAAATTAATTAAACATACTATTAAATTTCTAAAAAATTACATTAATAAATTAATTAAATAATGATAAAATATCATATTTATCATAATTTCTGATTGAAAAATTACGTCAATAAACAATAACTCATAAAATTGATCAATTAAAAGTCTAAATTAAAGTTTATGAGTGGAAAAATTTAATCAAAAAATTTAATCAAAAAATTTTTCCGTGAATTTATCAAAGAAGCTAATGTATGTGATATATGGCCAGCGTTTTCTTCGTTTCAAATTATATCGGTTATTTAACATGTTACCATTATTTCACCGCAGTAGTTTTAATGTCAATTAATTCGTTACTCAATCGCTCTTTTTACAAGTGAAAAATTTTCTTCCTACTTTTTCGCCTCTGTTAATTCAAATTCACCATTTATTTTCACTAAATTACTTAATAATTAAAAATTCAACAATTAATCATTAAATGAGAAAAAAACAATATTATTTTCTTCTTATCTATCGTCCCGATTAAACCACGTGCCACTTTTATATATAAAATTTATAAATAAATGATGAAAATAGATTTTTTCTTTTATTTCTAAATTAGCGTTCCGAGAATTTGAATTTCGCGCCATCTAGAATAATTTTTAAAAGTCATTAATTATTTTGAAGTAAGTAACGACAGCTGATAAAAAAGAAAATGACATGGTTTTGTAAAATGTAAACAAAAATTATGAATGAAAACATAACCGTTGGAATAAATTTATTTTTAACAGACATTTGGTGTTCTATAGATTAGAAAGGAGCAGGCTCGTGCTTGTATATTATATACTTTACAATTACAAGTAAAAAAAATAAACGGCGTGTTGAGCGTGTAATTTTGGCGCGACGTTAATCACATGTTACTTTTGAGAAATTTTTTCTAATAAAAAAAATAAATAAATAAAAGCTATTTATTAGTTGATAAAGTAAGAAGTAAGTGTTAATGTTAATAGAATTGAAATATAAATAAATAATGTCACAGAAAAACTCAAAACTGAGCCCGATACCGGCGACGAAATTTTACGGCGCGTGCAGCCAGGTAAGGAAAAAAATCCAGGATATCGAGGAACGCAACAAGAGTTATCATTTGATGAGTTTTGGAACACAAGAACGTATGCCGCAAAGTTTGTTGGGACCGACGCAAGACTGGGCTGAATTTTACCGCCAAGCAGAAGCTCTTCAGTTAGCGGATGCTAAATCAACAAGTATTAATATTCTTCTGACATTTGTTTATGAGCAACCAAATGGCCGTCGTAAATTTATTGTTGCACATCCTGAAGTTTATTGGTGGTATTTCAACCGCACACTGCCTGAAAGGAGATGTAGTTATGAGGTAATTATTTATTTCACTTACTTGTTAGTTTTAAGTTTTATTTTCATTTTACTTTTCGTTAGTTAATTGGAGTTTTTGGTTAAAGTTATTTATTGGAGACTTGTGATAATTATTTTGTTGGATAAAATAAAATTTTAACAATTAAATTTTCTCCAGTTTTTGTTAAAATTAATATTTGGTGTAAAAAATTTTGGAGTTGAAATTAAAAAAAATTTTTTTTTTCAAGTTTATTAATTATTTTAGTAGAATGGAGTATTTTGACAAAAAAAAAACTTTATTTGGAATGTAATTTCAAAAAATAAGAATAATAATTTATTGTGAACAAAAAAAAAAAAATTTTAGTCAATTTTAGCAATAAAAAAATTGTAAAATAATTATTTATAATTTTATTTTATATTTTAGTACTCCAATATTTTATAAAATCTGTCAAAAGCTAGAATTTTCACTTAAAAAGTAAAATCATTCCCTAAAAAAATACTCTCAAATCTCCAATTAATATTAAAATAAAAAATTTCTGTATTTAAAACTCCAAAAAATAAATTGAAGTAAAATATTAATAATATATTAAAATAATTAATAAAAGTAAAATAAAAATCTCAATATGAAATATTAAAAAACTAATTAAAATTACAGGTGATCCCAGAAGGAAGTCCCTGCTGCCTGTACCTGGACTTGGAGTTCCAAACAGACCTTAACCCAGAGCACAACGGGCCTCGAATGACTCAGACTCTGATCGACATTTTGATCGCGTTCTTCCATAAGCACTGGGAGCTGTCAGTGACCAAGAAGAACGTCTTAAATCTGGACTCGACCACCAAAGTAAAGTTCAGCCGGCACTTGATATTCCGGCTGAAAGACGTGGCCTTCCACGACAACATAAACGCAGGTCGTTTCATGAAGTCGATTTGCGCTGAAATAGAGGACTACATAAACACCGACGGGGTTCCGTTCCACGACGTGCTGAGCTACTTCAAGCGCGAGGAATTGGAAGAACTGTTTATAGAAACGGGAAAGCGGCGAAAATTGTTCATAGACACCTCGGTCTACTCGCGCAACCGACACTTTCGCATCTACAAGGCTACCAAATGGGGAAAAATGTCTCACTTGGTGAGAGCCAAGGACTGCAAGTTCAAGCCAATCACCGAAAATCGCGACAAAGAGCTTGAAATATTTTTGGAGAGTCTGGTTAGTTATTTCCCGGACAAGGATAATCTTCAGCTGCTCGAGCTCAGTGATGATATTATTGCTGATTTAACCAAGTATGACAGTACGCAGTTTAGAAGCTTCACACAAGCTTCTCGGGAGCAGTACCAGTCCTCGCCTTATCCGGCGATTGATAAATTTATTATGGGCATTGTTAAGCCAGGAACAATTAGAGTTTCTAAGTATTTTGATGATAGGCAGTTGATCACGTATGAAATAATTGGCAACAGGTAATTATTGTTTGATGGTTGAATTATTGATATTGTTGATGCGATAATTGGTAAATCTAATGGGTTTTACTTGTTACAGGTACTGCGCCAATGTCGGAAGACAGCATAAGAGCAATAACGTTTACTGGATCGCGGATTTAAAAAGTAAAATCGCGTATCAAAAATGTCACGATAAAGAAGACTGCGCGGATTTTCGGTCTAAGCCGATTATGTTTCCCGATGAACTGACGTTCATTATTGACGAGGAAGACGATGATATTTTCTTTAGTGTCGATGTAAGTTGCTTTGATGACTCTAATTCCTCTGATCATAATCAAAGTTTGTGATACGTTTATTATTCATTTGTATTAAGATAAACTGTTGAGAATTTAATATCTTTTGATACTACGGGTTCATATCAAGTATTTTTATTATACTTGGAATTGTTTAATGTTATTGTTAGATAACCGAGTCGGTTTGTAATTTATATGAAATTTTATAGAAATTTCAATGGATTTAAATATTTGTAATTATTTATACACTTTTTTTTATATTTTTTCGCGGGTACAAAAAAAAATTTTTTTTTTATATTTTTTTAAATGATTTTTTGTAATTAAAATTTAATGAATTAATTAATTTAATTATAATGAAAAAAAAAAAAAAAAAAATGAAAATTTAAGTTTAATCAATTATAAATAGCCGCGAATTATTTATTTAGTAAATTGTTTTATATTTTTTTTTAATTAAAAATGGCTTCACAGAGTTGAAATTCAATTAGTTTTATCAAAAAAATTTTATTGAATATTCAACGAGTCTAATTATTTAGAGTGAGTTTCCGAATTATGGATACTGAGTTATCATCAACCACGAGATAACTTTATTACTTAAAAATAAATCAATTGAATTATTTTTTTATAAAAAATTGTTCATAAATAATGAATTTAGTTATGAACTTTTGTATAAATTAGTCAATTTAAATTAATATCAATCAATTATATTTATATGATTATAATAATTAATGGATTACATACTTTTGGCAGGCTAAAAAAAAATGCTATGACATGGAAGGAATAAAGTAGTTAAAACTTTTCCATAAAAAGACGAAAAATTTTCGTAATTAATTGCTGTGAATTAAATGAATTAATTCTTATATTAAAAATACAACCTAAGACTACTTTTGTAATAATATTATTTTGAATATTTTTGTATTATTGGATTGAACATTAATAATAAAATTACTGTTTACTTATGGAATAATTATTTTTGTTATTATTATTATTATTATTATTTTTACATCTCGATACATTTATCGCTCATTCATAATTAGTTAATTAATTTAATTAACCACCAACTACAACAAATATTATCATTATGTACACATTCAATCAAAAAACAAAGACAATCTACATATAATTCTTTATATCAAAATAAATTTTAAAATATAACACAATAATTGATATATTTAAACAAAATTACTCTGTATCTGTTTTGAAAACTACGGTAACTTTTAATCAATCAAATCTTAATAAAAATATCAAAGATTATCATTATTTATAAACGAATAAATAAAATCTTTGTACTATCTTATATAGTTTCAACAGTATTTATCTCAAGTTAAAATTTATAGCGGAAAAATAATAAATCTCATCTATTTTCGTCGCTAACAGTAAAGTCACGCGTCGAAAATGTATACAATTGTCATGCAAATAATTTCGTTAAAAAAAAATACCTAAAATAGCCGGTTTCTTGTTCATTATTTTGTTCTAAATCTTTGTCACTTTCTTCACTATTACTACCGTTATCATTACTATTGATATTATTATTAGTATTATTACTGGAATAAACAATATTATCATTATTAGCAGCCGAACTTTCGATAGTTGAATCGTTTGACAATGATTCGTGAGAATGAGCTTTATTTAATTTAGCATCGACGTTAACGATATTCGATTCGCTAGCAAAATTAGCGCCATCGAGATTCATCAAAACTTTACTGCTGTCATTAGAATTATTATCTTCAGCTTCAATGATTTCTTCGTCTTTATCTGTTAATATGCTAGCAGATAACAAATCTTCTTGTTTTTTAATGCAAATATAATTTTTGTAATCCTTGGCGGCTTGTCGCATGCGACATAAAAAGTCGGGTAATCCTTTAAATACATTCAAATAAATTATTTTTATTTTATTATTTAATATTACATCTATATTATTTTGTAAGGTAAGTTTTACACGCTAAATACAATAAAAAATGCTGACAAAAATTTTGCATTGGTCAAGATTTTAAATAAAATTCTACTACAATTAAATTTTTTAGCATTAAGGTAGTTATCGTGGTACAATATTGTCAAAAAATTGGAGATTTTTATATTCAGCGTGTAACTCATAAACTATTAAATTAAAAAAAAAATAAATTACCACTTAATGCGACCCACGCAGTAACAGCAGAGGGTATATTTACACCAGGATCATCAAAATACGTCAACCCAAATTCAATACCTGGCTCGCTAAAACTCGTCAACGGTTTTATTACCATGTACGACCAATACGAAGTAACCCTACAATAATTAAAAAATATTATTTTATCATTCATGCAATTAAATTTATTTATAATTTAATTACCTATAAGTATCAGGTCTATCAGGCGCATCTGGATGATCAGTAACACGACTGACAATGACTACAATATTTTTGTCTTCATCCAAAACCCATCTACGCTGGTAAACGTAATCACGATTCGAAAATAGTCTCTGTAAATAATTAAAATATTCAACAATTACTTGAACAATTTAATTCAAATTATTTATTACCGGCCATATCATTTCCCAGTAAATAATATCAGTACGATGATCTTTGGCGGACAAGGATTTTGGATCAGTATCAATAATTTCCAATTGTTTGGCCGTTGGGTCCCAGACTTTTCTATAGTCAACGTCGACTTGTACTTGCAAAAATTCTTCAGCACTGACATCGGAAAAGGTGCCAAACACTTTGTATGCATACATTCCGCCAGTATTTGGTTCTTCCTTCCGCCAAATTATCATATCTTGTCTTTCAATGAATGGCTCCCATTCATTTTCAATATTTTCTGTTTTTAAATTTATAAATTCAAGTATTTGATAGATAAATTTTTTAAATGGAATTTAAATTGAATACTTTCAAAAAAATATATTATATTATAATTATAATACTGACGTTGAGAAATTTTTAAATTTTTAGAATTATTTTTCTAAATAAATTATGAAAAAAAAAATTGAGTAAATGATTAGACTATTTTATAAGATAAATTTTTAGCACTAATTTATTTATTAAATATTTTTTTGCTTTTACTATTTTTATAAGATTATATGATGATAAACTATAATAAAATAATATTACAAAAACTTCCACATGTAGAAATTAAAAAAAATTTTTTTACTAATTGATTTTTCAAATTAAAAAAAAAAAAATTAAAATGTCTACTGATTTCAGTTTCATTATTCTATTATTTTAAGTACATGTAATTGAAAAATAAAAAAAAATTAACGTATGCATATTATTTATTAATTTTACCACTTGAATTGATGGATTTTGATTTATTACACATACAATACGTGACATCAGGTTGTTTCTTATCAATGATTAATCTCAGATGACAATTTTCGCAAACTACAGTGGTATTACGTAGCTTATGAATTGTTTTTATTTCATCAGCGTAACTAGAAGAAAAAAATTACAATTAACAAGAAATCAACTAAAAAATTAAGCAAAAGCTTACCTGTAAAGCTCCTGATCATCAATACGCTCTTCATCCCAATTAAACATACTTACACCAACAGCACTAATTAAAAACTCCTTGCTATTTCTAGTTTTACACTTTCGCCATAATTTAAATAATTTTCTAAACAATAAATCTTCCCAAAAGTACGGATAAAATTGATATAATTTCAAACTACGTTTAATACGCTGGGCAGCTATGTACTCGAATTGACGACAGAACAATCGCGCAATTACGATTGATTGTTCAACGAACCAAACACTAAATTTATTTTTATAATCACGGTATTTATTTTTACAGTAAAAATTGTTATTATTAGCGGAATTATTTATAAGTCTACAGTTTTTTGGTACTAAAATACTGTAGGTTGATTTATGAGGTATTTTGTAGGTAAATAAATGTACGATTTTCGATAAATTTGACGTGTACATTTTAAACAAGCTGATTTAATAAAACTTTAACTAATTAGTTAATTGGGTTTATGTAAAAAAAATATATATGTGTAATTTATTTATATGTACATGTGTATAAGTAGTATTTATATTTATGTCACAGTATGTACATCCTTAATGACATTTATTGTAGTCAGTGGTTAATCACTTAGTTAATTGTTAAGTCAACAATTTCCCGGCTTTTAATCTCTATTGTCAAAGTATTTAAATAAATTTCTAACTACCTCGTGCTTAGCCAAAAAATTACCACCTCAATATATCTTAATTATTTTACTTGTTATTATATATATAATTTATTAAAATACAATACAGTGTATGTAATCCAAAAATTATTGTTTCAACTTTTTTTCTAGATGACGCTTGGTTCGAATTTTTAAAAGCTCGCGCCAAAATAAAATGGCGGCAAAAATGGACCGACAAAATGGCGTTAATTATTGCGGTGAAAATTTATTGTAAATATACTTGCAATGCATCGATTAATCATCAATTAGTCAATTTTATTGTAATTAATCGATAATGATGATTAATTTCTGTAAACTTTTAGTATAAAGAAGAAAAATTAATAACTTACGGATCAGCAGAGGACGAGAAAAAAATTATCTCCATGTATGTAGTGAGTTATTAAATTTTTTTTTTTAGATAAAAATATGACAGATTACAGACTGTTGTTTTAGTGACAGTAATTAAGTGATACTTTTGATGGTTAGTGTGATATAAAAAATTATTTATACATGGAAAAAGGAAAAATACATTTGAAAACTTTTTTGGGTCTGAGAGATGCATATATCCAGTGGATATTTTATGATGATAAATTTAGCAGATATTTGATAATTTTTAGAATTTTTTTTTTTACAAATAAATTATGGCAAAAAAAAATATAAAAAAATTGACATGTAGAAATTTAAAAAAATTAATAATGCAATTTTTTAAAAATAATTTTTTGGATCAAATTTTTCTGTTAAAAAAAATTAAAAAATTCTCTAGTGACTGCTAACTTTAATGTCATGGATATTTTTTAAACAGTTTTTTTAGGTTGGTACTCTGGTCTTCCAAGGTATAAATCTAGATATCTACCATAATAGCTGTCGCACTTGACAATTTTTTAATTTCCTTTAACAAACAAATTTCTCCCAAAAAATTATTTTTAAAAAATTGCATTTTTAATTTTTTTAAATTTCTACATGTCAATTTTTTTGTCATAATTTATTTGTTACAAATATTCTTAAAATTATAAAATATCTGCTAAATTAATTATAATCTAACTTTAATGTCATTTTACAATTTTCAGCTTGGAATTTGTTGCTTCAAATACTCGAGCGTTTATTATTGATTTAAATATTAATTAAAATTTATTATCTGTTTTATTCCAAGCTACTATTGTAGATATCTAGATTTCTAACGCGGAAGACCAGAGAGTACCAACCTAAAAAAAGTGCTTAAAAAATACCCACTCTGGGTATATGTACCAGACCCGTATATACCTAATTGTTCGTAAATATTACGCAATAGTGTACGGTTTCCATGGAAAATTGAGCGCGTAAAAATCGTGACGTAGATGTGATTGCTCCGCGATTAAGTAAATAGCGATTGCAATCGCGTTATTATTTTGAAAAGTAACATACCACATTGTGGAAAGTAAAAGCTGGTTGTTTGAGCGCTGGGCTGCTGGAGCACTTCAGTCTTCAGAGCGCAGTGAGTGTTACTTTAGTTGCTGGTGAATCTCGAAAGGAAAGAGGAGAAATGTCAAAATGGCGTCACATCAGGACGCTTGGTATCTCTCGTTATTGGGCTTAGCTGAAAATTTTCGTACATCCAGTCCTCCAAACATAAAAGCTTGCATACAATGTCTGCAAGCTGTTTTTTTTTTCAAGCCACCTCCTAAGGTTGAGGCCAGGACTCATCTTCAACTGGGTAACATCCTCCTTACGCACACTAAAAACATTGACCTGGCGCGATCTCACCTGGAACAAGCGGTCAGTTGTCATTTTTTTATATTATTACTCACTTATTTTCCTTACCGTTTACTCTATAGTTGCTAATTATAAATTTCACGTTATTTTATTTTTAGGTAACACTAGTTGTTTATTATTGTTTTGATAGCTCCCGGAGGTTCCTAACCTATTCTATTGTTTATTAAGTACATGTAGATTAATGGCGCACACCGCGCGTTAGATATTTTTTTATTATTAAATTATTATTATTTTTTATTCACAAAAAATTAATTAAATTTATTCTTTTTATGACAATATACTGAAATTATCATTTTTTTTTTTTTTTCAGTGGGGATTGAGTCAGAATATGAAAACATTTGATGACGTTAAATTCGAAGCTGCGAGTATTGTTGCTGAATTATATAAACAACAAGACTCGAATCACTGTATGCCAATACTTAGAGAAGCTATTAGACTTTCAACTCAAAATGTTTATTGGCATTGTAGACTTATTTTTCAACTCGCAGTAAGTATTCTTAAAGGTATTATTTCCTAGAGTATGGTCTCTTATATTTTGGAGTTTAAAAATCATTTCTGTAAGGGGAAACTGCCTTTTCATTATAAAAAATATATTATCAGTGCTTTAATTTTACTTGAAATATCTTTGCTGTAAATCTATATTAACTTTCATACACTTATTTATATGTAATATTTAAAATATATTAATTTTCTTGTAAATAAATGTTTAATGTCTTCATAAAGTGATTCATATGACAGTTGTTTTGTTATCGTTATTTACATACTTATCAAAGAAACTGATACATCAACAATAGTACAGTGAAATAACATGTAAATTCAGCAAAGTATTGTCATATACTAGCTGTCAATCACCTGCTTCCTTAGGCTTGAGTTTAAATTTGTTTATTTTTAGTAAACCAATTTTTTAACTTAACTTCAGTATTTACTTCCAATAATGTTCTTAAGGAATTTTCTAAAGTATATTTAATTTTTTATTTGCAAGGATGATTGCTGTCAATATTATCAAAATGTTTTATAAGTTGATCTTTAAAAATAAAAATTATTTTTAGTTTTGTATATTTACATCTCTTTAATCGTAATTAAGATTCTATTAAACTTGAAAAATTTTTAATCAGTTTATTTACTTAAAGAAAATTACTGAAGAAAGGATTTGTAATAAAAAGTTACTATTTTTTTCAACTAAAATAAAATATTTCGAAAAAATATTATCAACTTAAAACATTAACTGAGAAACGATAAATTTTATGAAATTAATTAAATGTCTATTGGTTTAATAGTTTTGTTAAGTTAGGCATGTCTAAAAAAGGCCTCGGTATTTATTAGTGTAGATATAGATTATTTAAGATGTATATTTAAATTATTTAAATAAGAGCTTATCCAAAAATTGAAATATTATTATAAAAACTCATGAAAATGCTTGCTTAGTTTTAGCTTGATATTTTAAATAAACTTTAAAAATGATTAATTATTTAAATTTAATTTCATATTAAATTAAATATCAATAAATAAATAAATCACAGAATTTTTATTTTTATTTAAAATGAAATATTCTTAATAATTTATACATGAGACCATACTTAATAATAAAAATTGAAGCAAATTTCAATTAACAAAACTAAAAATTAATGTCAACAGCAAATGCACGCATCCGAACGAGATTTTATAGCAGCGAATAGTTTACTGGAAATAGGCAGCGATTACGCCCAAGTAAGCGGAGCAAATTACACGCGGGTTTTATTCATCCTGAGCCGGTGTATGTTGCTGCTGATCGACAAAAAGTTTTCGGAAGTCCACCCGCTGTTCCACATGGCCAGCCGATACGTAGACGGATGGGAGGGAAACCACTACCAAAAGGAGTACCTAAAAGTCTACCTGTTGGTACTGCAAGTGTGTTATTTCCTAATGTTGGGTCAGGTTAAAAGTGTTAAAGTACTTTTAAAACAGTTACAACAAAGTATACAGACAATAATGTCCCCGACCTGGCCGTCAGACGAGGCCGCGACCAGTTCGAGCACCAGCGACATGTTTATATGGATGCCAAAGGAACATTTGTACGTTTTAGTGTACCTCGTTACTGTGATGCACTCGATGCAGGCCGGTTATATGGAGAAAGCGCAAAAGTACACGGACAAAGCGCTGACGCAAATCCAGAAGCTCAAGAGTACCGACAACAAACCAATACTCTCGGTCTTTCAACTGATGCTGCTAGAGCATATTGTGATGTGTCGTCTAGTCAGTGGAAACAGGAGCATGGCGCTAGTGGAGATTGCGGAGGCTTGTCAGCTCTGTAGGACGCAGCCCAAGCTACTCAAGGGTCATGAGTCTCAGCTACACACTCTCCTGGGTCTCTATGCCATGTCAATGAACTTTATGGAAGCCGCTGAAGCCCAATTCACCGCGGCGCTCCAGACCTCCCAGGAGAAAGAACTTTGCACGTTCGCGAATCTCAATTTGGCGATCGTATATCTAAGGACTAAGCGGGACAAGGACCTGGGCAGTCTCATGGAGCGAATCAATCCCGAAGGACTCCACTCTCACTCGCTGCAAGCTGCTGCCTTCTACGTACAGGGTCTCCAGGCCTTTTTTGGTGCCAGATACAACGAAGCCAAAAGATACTTGAGGGAAACTCTCAAGATGGCCAATTCTGAAGATCTTAACAGACTAACGTCGTGTAGTTTAGTACTTTTAGGTCATATTTTTCTATCCTTGGGTAACGAACGCGAGTCAATGAATATGGTCACTCCGGCTAATCAGTTAGCTTCTAAAATACCTGATGTTCATGTGCAATTGTGGGCCACGGCGATACTTAAAGGTTTTTATTATCATTATTATTTTTTAATATTATTAAAAAATATATTATATTTTTTAAACATGAAAAAAAATTTCAAATTTTCTAAAGGGATTTTCTTTTTATTTAAAATCAAAAAGTAATATTAAAAGCTAATCCTATCATTTTATATTCTTTCAGATTTGTACAGTAGAAACGGTGATCACAACCACGAGAACGAAGTGTATCAACTGCACTGTAGTTTTTCGTCAACCTTACTGAAAGACCACATGCAAAGTACTCAAATGCCCGAGCACATTCTCATCCAATGGACGAGTGGTACGATTCCCACGTTGCCAAGCAATCCACCGGCATCAACATCGCGAGCTATTCTCTAACATGTTCCGTATCCGTATCCGTAAACAATTAAATAAATACATTGTATATCACTTGCGAATTTTACTTAAATTGCCGGCGAAAGGCGCATGAATCGTTAAGCAAAACAGAAATTTGTAAAAGGCAGCTTGCGCTCTTTAACTATTATTATCGTTATTATTTTATTTAAAAACAACGCGTACAAATAAAATGATGCGTGGTCCAAATTGAATCGCGAGAAAACAGAGTGTCGATTTGCGTTTCAATTTAATACAAATATATATACATACGAAAATTGATATATATATATACATATATAAATATATTTTTTTTTAATAATTAATAGCTTATTCTAATACCAGAGTAAGAACATCCAGTACTGGTGATCTCCGTTGAATAATAAAATCCACTCTGTATATTAGTTGTCAGTCAACAATAGAATAAGTCGTGTAAGTAATATACATGTAATTAATTAACAGGACGAAAATATTAATATTAATAATAATAATAATAATAATAATAATTATAATTATAGAAATATTAATGATAATTATAATTATAAAAATAATAAACTATATATAAAATATAGCCTGACGCGGTTTTTACGTCTGTGGGGCCTTAAATGCGATATAATGTGTGTGTTAAATACGAGAGTATGAATGACAAAATGTAAATAATTTAATCGGTTTATTATAAAGAGATAAAGTTAAATGAAACACAAAAAAATACATTAATTGAATGAAATAAATTAATTTTACGTTTATTAAAACTGTAAAAGGTCTAATGTCAAATTAATTTGCGTCTTTAATTTTAAAACATCGTGTAATTTTTAACGTTTTATTTTTAGATCTCAAAAAAATGAGAATAGGAAAATTTAATAAAGTAATAGTATGCTTAAATAGTGATTACACGGAAAGAACAAGATGACACTGGATATCATCCCAGATTATAGTGATATCTGTGGTGAAAAAAAAAATTCAGGTAGTAGCTACAAAAATCCAGATTAAACTGCATGATATTTGGATTATACTCATTGTAATCTGGATTATACTAGCTATCTGAAATTTTTTTTCATTCAGTATTATTTGAGATGATATCCAGTGTCACCTTGTTCTTTCCGTGTAGTTAGTAACTAAATTTTTAATAAAAAACAAAACCGATTATGTATATTTATAATTATTAAATTTTATGAATTTTTTTTTTTTTTTATCAAATGAATTTTTATGTTTTACTATTAAAGACGCAATTTATTTGACAACGTATTTTTAGTCAAGAGATTATCCGAGAGAAATGAAATTCCGTTCTCGATTGTTTTCCAGTTTTAATTTATATACACGATAAATGATAATAGTAATTGTAATTATTATAATAAATGTTAAGTAGTGTGATGAATGAATGGTGGTTCCTGATTATCAATCTTGTACAGGCTGTTTTATCACAAATGTATGTATTTTTTAAGATAACAAATGAAAATCTATTTCGCTGTTATTCTTCCTAATTACATTTATCCAAATCCTTTGTGTTTATGAGATTAAAAGAAAGATTTTATTTATAAATTAAAGTAGTTTTTAAGATTTCAAATTACAATTAACCGTAAAATATTTTTATTCAACATTTTTTATTTTTACAATTCTGCTATAAACATCTTATCAATACCAGTTAATTTACTGCTAATAAATAATTAATTAATTCATTAAAAAAGAATTAGTATATTTTTTTTAAATTTAGTAGCGCTGGAGTCACCGCGACTAAGTCGACTACAAATAAATAAATCAATCAGAGCCGCCTTATTTTGTTGTTAAATTTAATTAAGCCCTGTACCACACTTGGGCTACCGACATACGCTTCACTTTCTTCTGGAGCTGGAGAAGCCCGTAAAGTAGAGCTTCTGCTGTTGGGGGACAACCTGAAATTTTTTTTATTATTATTTAAGAAGAAAAATTTAACATTAAATAAATAATTACTGCTAATGGTAAATGTACTTTTTTCGTATGATAATTTAAAAAAAAATATTTGAAAATTCTGAGCATACAGGTTTTAAATAATTTGTAAATAAAAATAATTAAATAAAAATATTTTTATAGAAAAAATAGCTTCATTTAATTTTTTTAATTTTCATTCAAAAATATTTTCTAAATTAAATAATAAAGGATTATTAATTATGCTAAAAATACGTAACACATATCTGAAAATTTATGTGATTTTTTGAATAAACTATTGCAAAAATTAAAAAAAAAAAAAATTTACTCGTAGAAATTTATAAAAGCTATAAATATATATTTTTTTAAACCATCTTATTAGTAAAATAAAATCAAAAATATGATATTGAAATAAACGGCACATTGAAAATTTTTTATTGAAAAAATTTTCATTTGTAAAAAAATTTAAAAACTACCAGTGCAATTTTTAAAAAATATTTTTTAGTTATAATTTAATAAGAAAAAAAAAATTAAAAATGTTGGCTAACTTCATTATTATTTGATGAAAATTAAATTAGCCATCTGAAAATTTTTATAATTTTTTTTATTAAAAATCTTTATTGAAAAAAAATTAAAAAGAAAAATTTCACTTGTAGAAAATATTAAAAATTATCCGTGCAATTTTTTTTAAATATTTTTTTAGTTCTAATTTAATATCATTACTATTTGTGAGTACTATAAATTGTGTAAATTTAAAAATTAAAAAGACAAAAAAAAATTACCAGGTACGTAAATGTCCACAGGAACAACCCGATCACATCCTCGTACCACCGAGTAACTGTAGTGATAATATCCTCCTCCATTGGCGCAGCTTCCCATGGATACGACCCACCTGGGCTCTGGCATTTGGTCATAAACTTTCCTCAGAGCCGGTGCCATTTTATTGGTGAGAGTACCCGCAACAATAATAACATCAGCTTGTCTTGGAGAAGCTCGAAATACTATTCCAAAGCGATCCATATCGTACCTAGGAGCTGCGATGTGCATCATCTCGACAGCACAGCAAGCCAGCCCGAATGTCAGTGGCCACAACGAACCCTTCCTACCCCAGTTAATAAGATCGTCGACACGTGCCAACGCATACTCTGCTAAATTGTTGGTATTTTGAAACGGACTGTACGGTTTCTTCTCCAGCTTGCTGACATCTTTCTTGTCCTGAGCCTCCAGGGAGCTATCACGTACTTGTGTTATTGCTGGTAAGCATATTTCATTACGCACACTCTTTAATCCACACCCCAAGGTACCTGAAAAATATATATTATTGTATCAATTAAATATAATTAATTTATATTGCAAATTATTTATTTATAAACTAATTGCACATTTTAATGAAACATAAATCTAAACGCATTATTCATTATATAATTAATATAAATATTGTCATAGGTTACCGAGTGTTGGAATTTTTAGATGTCACTTTTGAAATACTTAAACTTTTTTTTTTGTTATTTTTTGTTAAATCAGGAAAATTAAATGATGATTATTGTTGAGTACTTACGTTTGGCAATTGTAGACAGCATTTTTAAAAAAACTGCGTACAATAGTACGCAAAATTTTTTTAAAGCTGATTAACACCTGAGAAAAAAAGAGCGACTGGGAAATTTTTTTTTCGAACTGACTATGGCGCTTGCGTAGTAAAAAAATGGCGCGCTTATTTAAAATGAACTTTTAACAACGAACAATTAGTTTTTTTAATTAAAATTAACTTTACTTATTGATTTATATGACAATTAATTTAGCAGATATTTAATAATTTTTATAACTTTTGTTAACAAATAAATTATGGCAAAAAAAAAAAAAATTGACATGTAGAAATTTTAAAAAATGCAATTTTTTAGAATTAATTTTATTGTAATAAAATTAAAAATTGGTCAAGTGACAGCTAACTTTAAAGTCATTTGATTTATTTATAAGGTAAAAGACCCAGTTACTGACACTGGCCTAATTGTTTGACGCTTGCAATTTTATTCCAATTAAAACAATAAAATGTTCTCAAAAAACCAATTATCTGAAAATTTACAATTCACAATTTGTATTTATTAATTTATTGGAGGTTGCTTTTTTTTAATTAAATTAAAATTGCAAGTATCAATAACTGGGTCTTTTACCTTATTATATAATGATGTTTTATGATACTAAAATCATTAGACATCCGAATATTTTTTTCCACATAAATTATACAACAAAACGAAAAAGTGCAACGTAAATTTTGCAAAACTCTAGCGTACAGACTATCGTCCTCAAATCGCATCATCTCGACTGACGAAGCATACAAATACTACAAACTCTCTCAACTGTTTGCCCGTCGACAGGTCGCTGACCTTGCTTTCTTCTACAAAGTAGTCAATGGAATTATAGATGCTCCAGACATACTAAGCTTATTTGAATTTGCTCCAGCGAGTCTAACCTTAAGCCGCAACAGATTGCTAAAAACATCAAAATCTAAAAAGAACTATGTGATACATGGTCCACTAAATAGACTGGCCACCCTAGTAAATTTCCATCAAGGTGAAATAGAGTTCTACGGAGGTTCATACACTGCTTTCATCAACAACACCAGAAGACATCTACTGACCATACCAGAACACTAATAATACAAAGAAAATTATAATTAATTTCCCTTTTTTTCTTTTTTTTTCTGTTCAAATTTACCTTTCCTTCATCTAGCATTTGCAAGTTCTCTTTTGATCTGACTAGAATTTGAATTTACGCGCGCAAGCGCGCGCTTTGACTATAGAGTTTGCATATATTTTCATGCTTATGATATATTCGACCAATCACGTTACGAATAGTTTGATGCCTCATACATTTCATCTCAATTTTATATTAGGATTCTCAAAATTGTTATTCTATCTGTCCCCTCAACATCATGTAATAATATATTATTTGATTATATGTATCTAATAAATTTAACTTTATATCTTAAATATATATTGCCGATTGGCGTAAATAAATAAATAAATAAATAAATAAATAAATAAAACATTTTTAATTAACTTGCACTCTTAATTCTTTCAAGTTTCTTGATGTGGAATTTTTTATTAAAATTATTTTATATCAATTGAAGTGTTATAAAAATCCAAAAAATTAACAGATGTGCGTTAATTTCAATTTCATTAATGTTTAAACTAAACTGAAATATAAATATTTAAACTACAGACTAATTTATTCACAGAAATTTTTTTTTATTGTACTCTATTTTTTTTTTTTTTTTACTTTTCACGTTACCTTTAATGCAGAATTTTAAAATAGCCTTAAGTCATAATAAAACAATAACAAAATTAGATAAAATCATATATCTTTAAAAATCATAAAGGATTGAACTAAAATTTTGAACCAGAGCCAATATTTATTTCAAGTACTTACCACTTATTTTTAGCTGTTTTCAATTTTTAACGGACATTATTTATTTATTATACTTTTTTCAAAGTATAATAAATAATAAATCTTTTTTTTTAAAAGAGATTTTTTTCAAATAAAAAGATTTCACTAAATATATTTTATAAATTTTTATTTATATCTAAATAATATGTTATATATAAAGCATTATATATGTACTATATTATATTATATTTATGATATGGGTATATAAAGTAATGTTTGATTGTAAATTATTATACCAGTCAACATTGACACAGGCCTAAATTTTAAGCCCTAAATTTGTGTAATTTGTACTTAATAATCACACATGTGGCACGAATATTTGTACACTCATCCATTACTGATAAGAGTATTTTGTAATTAATTATAATTAAATTACTTAAGAAATAAAAAAAGATCAGTAGTCATAAGATTACTTGATGGTTTTATGAAAACATGTTTATAAAAAACTGTTTCTTTATTCAGTCGGAGGAGGTCTTGGCTCCTTGATATTCATTGCCGCCATATTCATAAGTAATTCTTCTTGTTCGACACTTTCTACGGGGCCCTCTATTTCTTCGACAAATTTCCTTCTACGTATCGGTGGCAAACCATCAAAAGTTTGCCGCGCTGTATGTAATGATGGCCAAGGACCGGAATCTGTTTAATTAAGAGTCTCTAAGTTAGTAGATCTTGAGTAATAAAATACCAATAGTTAATAGAAATTATTTATAAGCAATAAAATGAATGAAATAAAAAAATTCTTACCTGTTAGCCAAGGTAATGTGTTGGGTTGACTTGGACCAGGTAACGCTCGACCAATTTGCGCACAGCAAAGTGCTTGTCTAACTAATATATCATGGATATTAAAGTGTAGTAAACAAGAGGGTACATTGACTCTTCTCAACGGCATCGATTCATCAGTCATCTTTCCCATTTGCTGTAGTATCAGGCTTCTATCTTTATTTTGCAGATGGGTCATTACTCTACTCAAACAGGACTGTAAGCGTTTATTTTTAATTTTATGTTTAATTGTCAAAGGCACCCTGGGTATCAAACTAAAATTTAATTCCCGTCTCATTAGAGGATGAGGATCCATAAACTTTGGAAACTCTTTTGAATGTTCAAGATCCTCTTCTGCTGCTGCTGATTCATCTTTTTCAGTGATAGTCGTAAGAGTTTCACGTGCTTGAAAAAGTTGATTTGTAAAGTTTGGAATCTCCTTGGAATTATCCATTTTTCCTAGAATTTTAATTTTTTTTTTTTTTTTTTTTTTTTTAGTATTTTTTAACTATTATATTTTTACGAAATGTAAATAAAATTACAGATTAAAAAATTATCGGGTAGAAATTAAAAAAAAAAAAAAATGACTGTAAATTTATTTTTTCTTGATAGAAAAATTAAAATGTGTTTTCTTTTTTTTTTTAATTTGAGGTTAATTTTATTTATAGTAATTTTATGACACTAATTTTTTATAATTGAATGTTGACGAATGAAATGTGAAATAAAAATCAACTTACACATATATTGGAAAACTTTTGAACTTTATTGTTTACTCAAGAATAAAATTGCTGATAAATGTTATTAATTGTTTTTATTGTTCTCGGATCGATCGACCGAGAGAGAGAAAGGAGAGACCGAGAGAGAGAGATAGAGTTGACTGGACTGTACCTGGAGCTCTCGAGACCCTGAAAGGAGCAGAAGCAGCAGGAGTGAGAGGGCTGCTCCTCTTTAAATGAAAAGAAGAAGGAGAGAGGACTTGACTGGTGTAGAGGCGGAAAGAGCTCGCGTCAAAGGAACCGACACGCCGAGTTAGAGGGTGATGAGGGTGACCACCAGGGGGGAGGGAGTCCTGTGAGAAGGCTCACCAAACCCCAATAATAGCACCAGAATTTATATACCTGGACGACCTGGATGAAGAACACTGGAATGGACCCGGGACTCTTTGGTCTCTTGGTCGTGTTTTTCAGGTATCGCTTTTTAACGGTAGGGGGACTGTCGGGCGCCTCTGGCTCGCTTCCTTCCTCACCCTCACCTCCTTTTCCAGCTTAAGCTCCAGCAACTGGTCCATTGATTCACGAGTTAACTATTTCCTTTTAGTACTCTTCAATATTCGAACTGACTTTTTAGTCTACTCTGGTCAGTCTTGTCTTGTCTAATGCTCCAGTATACTTTCGTCACAATGCACGCTGTTCACTGTAAAACATTGGTTGGAGGCAGGCCCTTTGTTCCTCATTCTATGGACTGGTGTCAAGCTACTACGCAGTGCTGACTCCTCAGGAGTTAGACCTTGATTTGTTGTAAGAAGTCAGACTCTAAAAATCTAATAATTCAACGAGGGAAATTTTTTTTGGCTGTGAAATTGGAGTGCTGGAGTGAAGAAATTAAATATATCTTAAGTAATAATTATTATATTTTTTTGGTTTGATTTTTATTTTTTGGACGTTCGAAGCGGGAAGCTAAAAATAATAAATTAATAAAATTATTACGTTTAATTACATAAAATTTAATAACTTTAATGTTATTGAAATTAACTTTATATATATATATATATATATATGGCAATTTTTATGATTTCTTCATAAATTAATTATTGTAGAGAAAATTTATCAAAAAATGCAACTTGTAGATATTTAAAAAAAATACTCATTGCTTTTTTAAAATATTAAAATTTATTTTGTTCTATCAAATTAAGAAAAATATTATATTAACTTTTAAGATGTCTAAAAAAATTAAAATATTTAATTTTAATCAATAATATTCCGAAATAGTAACTATTATAATCTATATCAATTATAAATTAGAAATTTTTTTCATATGCTAACAATTCTATCAATTTATGTAATAAATCAATATTAACAATAATAATAAATAAAAATGTATTTCTTCACATTCTAACTAAATATAAAAAATGAAATTATAATCTAACATTTTGACAAAGTTTATCTAGTGAGTGTATCAATACTTTGAAAATGTTAATAGTCATTAATGCTAAGAAGACAAATTGTTCTAAATAATAAAAGGTATTAAGTGAAAAAATAATTAATATTTTTTAATTTCATAGTAATAAGTTAGTTTTAAGTCAAAAAATAAAGCTTGCATTTTTCTTAAAAATAGATTTCTTAATTAGTTTATTGTTCTAAAAAATATACATGTAAGCCTGTTTATATAATTCAATAAACAAATTTGAAAAAAAAAAAAAAATGATCTACCATTGATGGTAGTGTCAACGGGTTGGTAGTGTTTTGTCCGAATGAAGTAAAACATGAAACATGAAGTATAATGTTTCAGACATGAGGCATTATATTATATGAGGCAAGTTAGAGTCTGGTGAATAAGAACCTCCCCGAAAGGGAGAATTATGTATAATGTAAGCTGGCTATCATCCATCACGGAGGACTCAAAGCCATGGCCATCCAATTGGTAACTATAACCGACTGTATAACAGGGATCGACTGGGTGGACCGGCCACGTCGTCCTGATCGGCGGCAACCGTCTGTTCTCTCATCTCTGTGAAAAGACTGAGGCTAAATATTGTGAAAGGTCTAGACAAGCTTTGAAATATATATACGAAATAGATTTTTGGCGTTGCATACCACCCATTATAGACACCACCAGGGAGTTTCTAAAAAGTATCAGCAGACTCCGGTCCATTGTCGACATGTGTGGGTATGGAGCTATAGAAAGCTGAGAGAATATCCCGGTGAAGGCTACTTAATACAGAAACGCCGTTTTGAGAAGGTACACTGATCAGCGCTGGACAAAGATCTTGTTTGGGATATCGCGGAGTTACTTGCCACACGAAAAGTGCCTGATCTTGCCACAAAGTCCCGATCCGTGGATCCCTCTGCGTAGAAATACTCTCACGGACGTCCGTACGTGTGCTGTGTTGTGAGGATGTGTTAGGACATAACTATATATATATATACATATCCTCCTCGGAGGGAGAGAGAGAGAAGATCCCTCAAACGAGAATTCGAGTAGGCTCTTTAACAACTGGCGGCTCTTTGAACTCCCGGTTCCTCTCTCCTTGGCACGAGGAGCCATTTACATTTTACACGCGAAAATACAGTTTATGGCCCGGGCCAATCATCGCGCGAACCTCATTCCGCGGTCTCACACACGCTTATTCATCCCGAGGTCTATAGTTTTCGGTTTTGTTTATTTCTTCTTGTGGACTGTATATTATATCCATTTGGAGGTTTTTTCCCATATACCAAATCTCAGATTCGAGATCCCAGATCCAAAGAGCCATCTCACTCGTGTGAGAATACACGCGAGGTTACCGTAACACACACACATCCCCCCACCCGACACGTCTATTCTCACAGAGCCCATGTAAATTCCTTGATGGTTATTAATCCAATCTCAATAGCCAGTATTTTAAATGAAAAATGGTCAGCTCGTGATAAGTTAACACGTGGTTAAAAAAGGATGAGCTAGCTATACCTATACCTATACACCATCAGAATAAGAATAATAAGTCGAAAAGCTTGGACCGAGACTCCCTCTTCGACTGAGAATGAGAATAAGAATAAGAACGAGAATGGGGAGATAAAGAAGAAAAGGAATGCGAATGTTCGAGCAAGTGGTGGAAGAGACCGTGGAAAAGAAACAGTGAACGTGTGCGCAAAACTACAACAACAAGTTTCAGAGATTAAAGCCGAGTTGAGGGAGCCAGCTGAACCAGGAGCACCATACCAGTCCAGCGGCAGTGGATCCTTTCGGTGTATATGTGCAGTAGGAAGAGCCCGCCCGGACCCCGAAAGACCACACAGGACGCGGCACGCGCGCGCTCTACCGGGTGGCCCAGCACATGTCCCGGTCGGGAATACTCGGGCCAGTTCGCCGGAGTTCGGGCGGATTCGGCTCGTCCCGGTGGTCGGAGATCGCCGAGGCCACACAGATCGCGCACGCGCGGACGCTTTCTGGGTGGCATTCACTCGCCGGACGGACTGCCGGCAGGATCTCTAAACACTCGTGGTAGCTGGTTTGCTCGCGAGCCACTCTACAACCTGTTAGTGTCGAGGATCCACATATTATGCCCCTCCACTCGACGCGGGCTTCGGGCCCCCGGTTCCATGTGTGAGAGCAACCGGGCCCAGGCTCACTCTGTGAAGAGACTCACTGTAATGGATGAGAGAAAATCCAAGATAAAAAGAGATGATGAATAACTACCTTCCGACGCTGGCTGATTCTCTCACTCGGAGATCCATCGCCTCGACACTATAACCTCCCGGACCCATCGGGCCCCTCGGGCATCACGGGCTTCTAATAAGATTCCAATTTGTCAATTAAAGGGAGGACGGGACCCACACACCCCATTCTCAACTCATCTCCTTTATTCTCTTTTATCTTTTTTTAGCTTTTTAGAATACTGGCAAGCTTGAGTGTTATTGCTCGGTGATATGGTTATCAAGGTGATAATAGTTCGGGAGGGGAATTAGTTTTTGAGTCAACTAAAATTTGTGATATTTTGTTTAAATTGAGTTGAGATATTCGTAAATTTAATCTAGAGAATGAAACATTGAGAAAAAATTAGCCATTCAAATATTTTACAAGTTTAACCACCAACTTAACTAAATAATCAACTAAATAATTTTTAATAACTTCTTGAAAACTACTTAAATAACTACACATGCTTGAAAGGTAAATAGAACTTTTTATACAATTTTATAAAATTTTATACCACTGGATTTTTACAAAAAAAAACATTAAAATTTTTAACTTCCCGCTAAGAAAATTAAAAATATGTAGTTATTTGAATAGTTTTAACTAATTTAGTCAAGTATGTTTTTTTAACAAGCTATTAAAATTTATTAATTTCTTGAAATAAGCAAATAACAATATCTGTTTTTATCATGAGAAGTAAAGCTTTTTTTGAGTTAAGTAAAAATTCTTTAGACCATAATTAATGATATGTTTTCGTGTCAAGAAAATTTTCTTAATAAAAGTATTTATTTCTTAGTACAAAAATTCCTTGACTAAAGTTTTTAAAGAACAAAGCTGAGTAAGTATTTTTGATTTAAAAATACTCCAAATTCTGCCAAACTATTTTTACAGGCCATAAATTTAAATTTCTTATATCTATAGTAGTAAAACATTTCATTTCTATTCCCAATGAAATATTTAGATAGTGATATAAATTTTTCCCATACCTTCTGACGCTGAGCTTATCGTCACGGCAGCATGATAATCACACGGGTAGAATACACCGTCTATTTATTTTAAAAATCG